AATTATAGCCAGAAACAAATATATATATAGCAAAGATGCCTGATACCTCAGAAATTTTGTACAATATTAATTTAAAAGTAACTTGAATCAATATATATTTTCAACCGGTGAAAAGATCCTAAAAATTCTACCTCAATCATAGTCAATGGATTTCCATCAAGGTAAGTCCTGTTGACTTTATAAAAATGCTGGAAGTCCCCAGCCATCAGGTTCTCGATTTGATTGTAATCCAGCCTCAGTACATCCAACGACATCTGAAGTCCCCTTATTTCCGGCTCCTGTTGCAGATTCAACATCTTCGATATCCTGTTGTAACTCAGATCCAACTCTTTCATGCGTTTCAGAGAAGACAATTGCGCGTAAGGAATGTGAGTCAATTGATTTCCATTTAGATAGAGATATATCAGATGCGCCATTCCGTCTCTGAACACCGAAGGATCGATTTCCTTCAGGTTATTCTCTCGTAGATCCAACATGTCCAGATAAGTGAGACCAGCGAACGCGTCAGCCGGAAGTCTGTCGATCGCGTTGCGCCCCAATCGCAGCTTTTGCAAAGAATTCTCCAGACCGCGCCAATTGTCCGCCGCGATTTTTGATATTTTATTACCTATGTAAAACATGATAATTTATTCGGTTTGCACAACAATTTTTTCTTAGTTAGTTATTTTGAATAAGACGAATTTGAACGAGATAGAATTTTGATTTTCTTGGATTGTGTAGATTGTTTTCTTGATTGAGGATAAGACAGGTAATTTAGGATCTTCGGTAATCATCGAATCTGATTGCAAAGGGTTATGAAAAGTGTATTGTTAGTTTTGATAAGGTTTAATTAAAGGGATACACTACTTTGAGGCGCTAAGAAATAGGTAAAGTTTGGGAATTTTTTTTATACGTAAATACTAAATGTAAAGTTCCAATTCTTTCGGAGGATATAAAGGTAACTTTCAGCTTTCCTCTCCAATTTTTACATAGTAAAAATCTGAAAAAATGGAAGAGTTATTGCGAAACATCTTCCGGTAGAACATCGATTGCTGGCCGCCATAGTGGCAAGGATTGAAACTTCGTTTCGAGACTTTCCATTTTTACATTTTACTTTTAAAAAATATGAGAAAAAACCTGAAAGTTACATTTATATTCTCCGAAAAAATTGAAACTTTTCATTTAACAGTTACCTGTGAAAAAAATTCCCAAAGTTTACCTATTTTCAGACGCCTCAGGTAAGCTCCCTTAAAAGAGAAAGAAGATTAAAAGAGATTTAGCGTATCTCTAAAAACATTTTTCAGTATTAAAATATTGGCACAGAAAATTGGTTAGGGTCCTTTCGTTGATTAGTATTTCATCGTCGAGCAATTTGAAGTGTTTTCGAAAGTCGACAACTTTATCGTACGATCTGTGGGAACGTTTGTCGAAGGCGACAGTGAAGGTATTAAAAAAAAGGAGGATACCTGTCAGATCGAGAAGTTGTAACTTCTGTAAATGCCTGTACGACCTGCTGGGAACCCTCTCCAGGCGATTGTAGGGTAATTCGAGCTCCCATAACGATCTCTCAAGCCCTAGGAAAGCTTCGTCCGGGATGTCGGCCAGGGGATTATGCTTGATCCGTAGGTTGTACAGACCTGTGAGATAGGAGAGATGGTGTGCATGTGAAAACTAAACTACCACGCATCGTACGTGTGCGTAACTTAATCGATGATGCAAGGAATTATTTCTGACGCTCGGTCGTTGCCCCTTAACCCCTATTTCATTCTTCCCTTGATCGACGATCTCCTCTAACCGTATTTAAGCACATTCTGATACACGCGAAAGAAGGAAACGTAAGTTCACACCTTTCTCTCACTTTAGAAAATCGTTTCGTTGCCCTACGAATCAAATTTTGCTAATTACACGTTATTTCGCTTTTCTTAATGATAATTAAGGCTACATTTACCAGAAATTTAAGCACTGACTCGTTGTTTCAAGAATAGTGATTGCAAAGATGCTGTTTCAAGGGAATACAAGTTTATATCCGGAAGTTAACTGTCGGCGAAGCTGGGTCAGCTGTGACCCGTGTTACTGGCGTGTATAGGAGGTTCACAGAATATAGGGGCGGAGCAGAAACTGTTTATCTAGAATATTTCCGTTATTTATAATAATATGGAAAAGAGAAGATAGAGGAGATTTCGAAATCGTCTCCATCTTTGTTTTACTGAGAAATGTAGTTTAATATATTTAGAGAAGAATCTGACGAAAAGCATTGATTCTCTAATGCAAAGACAAACAAATCTGTCGATGGGTCAGATGTGACCCAGCTCCACTTTTCTCGTGTGAAAATTTCGATCATCTCATGCTATTCTTTGTTGTGACAAAAGTTTCATATTAGGATATTTTTTCTAAATTTCACTATACTTCTTTAGCATGTAACACTGTACTATTCCATCGTTTTTCAAAGGTTGCTCTATTTTTTCTTGAATATTTCAGTTGCTTTTGAAATTTGAAAAGTGGATTTTTTTCTCTAATGAAATTTTAACATATCCCCCGCCCCACTTCTCTACTGTACCTGTGTTCATAAGAAACTGTGGCTGCAGAAACATCAATCCGTTGTTCTCCAGTTGCAGCATGAACACCTTCGAGGAGTTTATTGGCCGTGGTATTCGCGGCATCGGGACGTTATAACAGGTAACAATACCGAGATCTGGAATTGCTTTGGAACAGGTGCAAAGTGGGTTGAAGAAACATGGCGGATACTGCACCGGAAGCTCGTGCATCCGAACCAAGGACGCCCACATCATCAGCAACAGGGTGAAAATGACAAGAACGTAACCCACCTTCACCATTGTTGCTAAATTCTGCAATTCCATTTTTACTTTTCACATTTTCCATCGCGTTCACTAATTTCAACAATCTAGCCAAGTGAATCTACTTTTTCTTTTTCAATTTCGGTGATTTACATAAATTAATAGAATCATTGAATTTCTGTAAAATTGCCCTCCGAGATTTATTTGAACCAACCATATTTTTGTTTTTTAAGTAATCTTCAAAATTTATTCGAATCAAAATTATTTCAATAATTGTTAACAACGTTTTACCACGGTTAAAGAAGAGAGTTACTAAACGTTAGAATTTTGAAAAATATCCTATTTTTCAATAGAATAAAATAATTATTATCTGATTATGCCGGGACATGTCTCGACGTTATAACACAATTTATCCTATTAAATAATGTAATAACACGTTCACGTCTCCTTCTCCTGATTACTGCATTTTCGTCATAGATAATTAAGCTTCCAGCAGTTTTTCGAAAACAAGCCAATTACCAGATGCTACAGCGTAATCCATTTAATATCGGCACGTGGTAGTGGGACTTAAGGAAAACTCGACCAAACTTCCCGAAATTCTCGAACTTTCCAGAATCACCTTTAATATGCTACTTTATTTTCCTTTTTTCAATATTAACATACATTTTCAATTGTTACAAAAGTAATACCGTAAAATAAATACTATTTATCAAACCTATCGTTTAAAAGAATACTATTTACCAAAAATAAATACTAATAAACCGTTTATAAAATAAAATTCAAATCGGGTGTAAGTAAAGAGACACGAGCGGACATATAAGGAACTATTTTTATTTGTATCATGGCGTGTATACACGCTTCTATTTATATTCTTGACGGTTCGCGACAAACGATTCAAATATTCACTTTAATTACTTCCTACTTAACCGATCCTTACATGAAAGCACATACTTTTCTCGAGACCAACATCCAGAAGCTAATCTCTGTACACAGTATCTTTATACAAACGTTCTTTGCTGCCGGTTACTTCGATTGTCCAATAAAAGATACTTCGTCGAGGTAAATCGTAAAATACAACACTGGAATTCTTGGTTGTGCAAAGGTCAATCATTTATCAAAAAAAAAAAGAAGAAAAAGTTAAAATAATAAATCACAATTGATAACTTCACCACTTCGATTATTTTCCATTTTATATATTTCCCTCTTTACGAGCACGTCTAACCAAGATAAATACCGCACAAATCCTTTTACTTTTTTTTTCCTTTTTTTAAATTTCGAATCCATCATTTGTCACTATCCTTTGCACATCCACGATTCGAAGAGTAAAATTTCGTTACCATGTTTCCTTGAACCAAGAGAACACTACGAGCAGGTCTTTATAGGACCTCGTGCTCATGGGATCGTCACCGCCCGATCACGATGATCACACTGAGGGTTCTGCCAGCTAAGTGGCCGTTGCCACCCTGTCTAATAGGGCTTCAGGAGTGCCGGACAGTTTCAGTGCTTCTCTTTACCCGATTATAAGAACGATATTCCATTAGGCAACGAATGAAAATAGTCGCGCAAAACGTCAGTGAACATTCGAATTATGGCTACAAATGATTTAGAAGGGGCACAGGTACCTCGGGTATGATGACAACGTCATGAATCCGATTTCAAATGACCGACCGTTGCATATCTTGAGGGTATAAAAATGACCGATAAAATCGATATCGTTAGGTTTGGCATAGTTTATGGCACGATTGCAAGGAAAGGTTAGTTTGTAATTCGTGATTTTCGTTTAATGTTTGCATGTGTAACAAGTACATTCTTGTCGCTGGAATTATTTCGTTCGATTTTTCGGTAATTCATATCTCCCGCGCTTAGTAACTTAAGAACGTCACATACACCACGTGTTTCCGGAGGAAACATCCGTACGGTCCGCTGACCGATGAGTCAAATGGAGGAAATTACTCGTTGTTACAAATTTCGTTTACCTCCCACCCTTTCCAGGGTGAGAGAACGTGCTAAGGGCGCACTGGAACAACGGTGGCGAGTATATTAAACACGCTGATTGGTAATCGAGATTGTTGACCATCTGTCAATCTTTTAAAGATTAAACTGCAGTCTTCTAAAAAAGTGTCACGAAGCACACAGTTCTAGCAAATCCAGGCGTTTGTTAAGCGGTTAAAAGGGTTGTTATAGTTCCCAATCGTATTGAGTGGTTCATCGCAAAGTTATTTTTAGTCGACACACCACGTGTGTTGACAGATACATTCGGTTTAATAAAAGGTGATAATTGCACCAATGATTACGAAAATGATGTAAGTCGTATATTTTTTGTTTCGAGATATATATTGGACTTTTTTCTTTAGAACGTGAACTGAACTCTATTTCGTTATGTAATTGCCAACTGTATTTAACGTTTCAATTTTCGACTATTTCGTAGAAAGGACTCGACGTTATTTTCATGTAAATTGATGCAACAAAAAATGTGATAAATTTAATTCTTTTTGATGTTTTAATTAGACCAATTTTTATAATCACCGGTATAATTGATCTTATTAAAGATGGCCGGTAATATTATATTTCCGTGATGTATAATTTATTTATGATTAGTTATTGGTATTAGAAATTGTTAGAAAAAAATGTTTTGATTTCTTAAAGTGTTGCAGATTTCCTAAGTTTATATTATTAATGTGGATTCATACTTACGTAACACTCTCATGTTAGAGGCCGAGCAGCGTATAATTTTTCTTTGGTAATTCGTTTTTGAACTCGATATCTCTATCGATGTTAATAAAATTCTCGGAGGTAACATTTCATAAATAAACATAGCAATTTTATTTTAAATTAATCATGATATTATTAGCGGATACTAAAAGTATAAAACTGCAAAAATTACTTGCGAATGCTTAAGAATTAAAATCATAACACGTCCTACGGAAACGTTACAATCTGTTCATCATTCCTTACAATAAACACCGCAAAAGAGAAAGAGAAAAAAAAAAAGGAACGTGGAAACATGATTTCTGACAAATAATATCTACCGTATCGCTTCGGATTATTTTCTGCTTGCTGACGACGTTATTGTACGAAACGCTCATATAAATATACGATTACTCACTCACATTATATAAAACAAATATAATTTTTTTTCACACGCTCGACATAGAATTTGTACTAGTAACACGTCGCAACAATAAATATCATACGTATATATGTATGTGCGTGTATATAATATGTACATAAAATTTATATGCATATTAAAACATTCATAAAAAATATGTATCTCTTGTGTGGATCGTCACTGTTTTCCTTTCCTTTCCTTTTGTTTTGGCCACATCGAAATATAGTTCACATGGATTTACGCGCGGTTCCATTGATTAATTTCTGAGAATTCTGCGATTCCTCCTCGTTTACTTTGTTGTGCGATGGGAGTTTCGGAAGACGAGGTGCGACCACTAGTATAACTAAACCGAATATATGTACAAACAGGTATAAATACCTAGAAAAAAAAGAAAAACATTTTATTATAGCACACTTTTCTCTCACACACTACGAAAAAAAAGGAAAATAAAATTGTCACTGCTTACAGGTACATCGTGAGACTTGGCATAAATTCCAAGAGTACAAAGCTGAATGTGATATAGGCCATTAAGATTCGCGTTGCAATGAACGTAAGCGCATCGTAAAGGAACTTCTTCCCCTTGGACCCTAAGAAGTGTGGTCGCATGTTACGACGACCCTGTTCCACAAAATAAAAAATGTGTTCGTTAATACAATTTAACAATGCAAGCTGTTACGTTCGATACTGTAAATTTGACTTACAGAGCGTGATACTATAGTGAAAAAGGCTCCGTTGGCGAATGTTAAATAGTAACCAGGATAAAAACCGTGCCATAACGCAGAAAGAGCGTATGTGAACATAACTTTATTATGTTCTACTCTCTCGTATACAAGCGACCTAAGCCACCTATTGGTTCCTTTGTTCCAGTGCTCGATACTGTCCCTCAAACTGAGAGACATCTGAAAATTGAAATAATTCCGATAAAGTATTTTATCCATTTGTAATGTACAACAACAATATATGTACGTTTAATGTGAAGGAGTATAGATTTACAGATCGACGAAACTATATTGTACGCATTTTTTGAAAAATTTACCTCGAAACCAGAAACGTCGACATTAGAAAATAGATCCCATTTGGCCTCGCCTTTCTCATCTATTCCGCTAAACCCGAGCCCGGAATTATTGCAAATTGCATCGGCGAAGATCCAAGCGTGATAATACTTAAACCGAACTAGCATAGTGGCCACCATCAAGAACCACACCTTATAAAACACCGTTGTGTTCTTTAAGAAGTCATCGTCTGTAAATAAAATAAAGCTTCGTCAACGGGGAGAGAACGTGACACGATGGTAAATGTTATACAGACACGCGAATCGAACCTTTTAGCTTCTGAATCGGATACGTTGGAATGAAAGTCACGAACATAGCCGCGCACAATAAACTGACTACAACCTTTTTCACTACAACCGGCGTCGGGGATGGTTCCAGGACTATTTCATCGTAGTGACCAGAATTTTTATCGCAGCCCTTGAAAAGAGAAAAAAGAAAATAATGAAATTCGTACTTCTATCGTTGATTCAAACTTTTCATCCATTTCTTTTCTTTTTATTCGATAGTAGTGTATTTGAGAAAACAACGAACAAAGAAAAATTCTAACCGTTAATGGTTTCGTTCCGCCTAAATTAGATCCGTGAATAAAATCGATGTAATCGCGATAAAATATCACAGGTCCAGCCATCAATGCTTGAAAGTGGAAGACGTAGCTGAAGTACTCTAACGTTGTCGGCATCTTTCTAAAATAAATCATACAATAACACGAATTGGATTTGACCGTTGGCGTCGAGCAAATAAAAAGATTAATTCAGATTCACCCGTCAGATGAGCGATATTCTTCTTGAATACAAATGAAAGATCACATATGAGATACATGCGGATGGACGGATTTTTCTAGGCGTTGGTCATATTGTACATTATATAATTAATGTTGCAGAATAAACAGGGCTCGGTTAAGGAAGACGTCAACTCACTTCACAGCTTGATGGCGTTGCGTTGGCGTAAGTTCCTCTTCACGTCGCGTTAACCCATCGTGTATGCTGTACGCGAGGCTGGTCACTTTCTGTGTTATCACCATAAGCGGCCCTGCAATGTACACGATGTAATAAAAACTTTATTTAGAAAGGAAAGTTTTTTTTATTATAAACTATGCCCGTTCATGTGGTATATTCTGTGATATATTTAACGATACTTGTCTTATGCGCAATCCATCCAGTATTCCTACACTACGGTAGTCTATGCAACGTGAAAATATTTCATTAGCTTTTTTCTCATTTCTAAAAAAATTGCGAGAGTTCGTACTATAAAATTATAAAAGAAAATCTACTTCCACTAAAGAATACTATAAAACAAAATTTCTTGAAACGTGACGTTTTTATGTATAGTGTGATGGAAATGACAGATCTAGCTGAGCAGTTACAGCTGCCCAATAACAAATCATTTTCCTTTCGAATCTTAACCTAGTAATTTGGTCAATCATAGATGATGCAACATCAAATTATATCTGTAAGTAAAGTATGAATTTGACGTGTTGCTGGTATTGCCTCATTTTTGTTATTTACGTGTTTAATTATGAACGAAAATCGTTCGCCAGATCGAATATCTTGTTCGGTAATATTCGACATTTGCGCGGTAAACGATGACAGATTCGCGTGTCGCGATTATTTTAAAGTGGCACGCATCTACTTACCGGTGATATCGAGACAGTACGAGCCGTAATTGTACATCTGTCGATGGTAATGCACGCATGATAAGTAGAGCAACGCCGTCGTCAGCACGGCCCTGAAACGTATTACCAAGATGAGTTGTTAAGTTCAACGAGCGATCGTTGACCGTGGTAACGCGAGAATGAACGTGAAAAGGCTTCGGCCTTTAATATTTAACGTTTACATAGTAATTCATGGGCAGTATTACGCATGATGCGTTTTTTTAATCGATCACAACAGGAGAAATCACATTAAGAATAAACTTATTTTCGTTATAATTGTCGAATACTACTTATCGGCTGAACATCAGCTCGTTAGAAATTCTTATAGAACCTGATTTGAGTACAAATCCTTAGACTGTCAAATAGAATTGATTGTCATCATTCTAAGGCTTATTTAATAAGACCATGTGCCAATAACATGTGTCATAAATTAATTCAGAAGAAAGAAAAGATAACATTACTATCATCATCTTTGAAAAGAACCTGCGACATATTTACATATACTACTTCGATAACGTACGATACAATTTACACTGCGATAAATTTTAACGTTCGCCAAACGGATATTCGTGAATCCCTATTTATAGAACGTTCGTGTTACAATTAAATATTTTATCATGCTTAAAGAACGAATAGGACGATGTCGTAAACCTCAAACTCTGTCAAGCTACATATTTACACGTAATATACGAAATTTTGAGGTTAATGGAAATCAGCTAATTGGAGTGGGGGGGATATTCTCTATTTTCTTTAAGTGTGAAAAAGCTTTCGTAGCGTATGAAATCTACAATGAGACGTATGGAACAAATTAATGTGCTGCAAATATGTAGGTATAATAATAATGAATGTATCGTTGTAGATAACTTGCCTCTGTATATTACGAGGATTTTGTGTGCGCATTGCTATGTAACATAAGGCGGGAAGGGCTGCAAGGTGTATCGTCTGCCTGAAAAGATACGAGTTTTCCTTTTTAACGAAGCAAGTTGGTTAAATTAGCAAAGGCAGAATACTTCAAGATCTACAAAGATTTTTTTTAATTATCTACACTAGCGTTAAGTTAAGTAAATCGTATATGGTGTCCAATTATAATTAACGCAATCAAATAATTTGAAAAGTAACTCGATTAACATAACCTTATCTTCTAATCTACTTTCTGTTTCTAAGTGAAATTTTTTTTCTTTTTTCTTTTTTATTTCTAATACATTTTCGAATGCTTCAATTAGTGTTGAACACCTTATATGCAGTATGAATTTAGAATGGCTTTTTTTTGGAAAACAATCCCATGCTTATCAAAATTACAAGCTTTTTCTGAATGAACTGATTGATTTTTATCCATTGTAGATTTGTTTACCTGCCGAAGCAGAAATATCCAAGCGCAAGGCCGATAACGAGACCAAATACATGTCTGATGGCTGCTGTAACGGCGACTGGACTAAGAAACGTTCTTAAAAATCCAGCCAATATCAGTGCAGTGAACTGCGTTAATAGAAAATTCACCTGCACACAAGAAAATAACATTTGTCACGATCTGTGTTCAATATAATTTTTATTTAATTCTTATATTCTAATTTTCCAACTAAAACACTAAATACTTCAACTTTCTGTATTTAAAAAATATTACATTTTAAATATAATTTCAGATTCGGTTCCCGCTTTCAATTACAAACGTTAAAATTATTATGCGGTACTTTCATACGAGTTGAAAGTTGTTATACCTAACAGTTGTTTACACGAGGTCAATAAATGATTAAAAGAGGATCATACTTTTTACTGTAGTATTTTTTAGCGAGGTTTTTGTCGCACCGTGTAGCCTGACAAAATCCATTAGCCTTATTAAACCTCGTGAGCATCGAACGTAACGTTCTGTAATTGTCGACAATAAAACTGATATGTAAATATGCATTGCTCTATCGATTATGTCTGACCGAGAGTCACGAAGCGTGTGAAGTCTAACTTTTTACCAGTGGCTTTAAATCACCGTGACTATGCTCTGTCCAGTGTATAGACAACTAAACACAAAGTAACATGAAAAATTTAAATCTAAATTGCACGGTACGAGTAGAACGTGCAAAAAGCGTGACAGAAGTACACGACTAGGCTGTAATTACAGTTTCGCTATGAATGTCAAGAGCAAGATAAAAACTTTTATACTACTGCTTTTTTCTGTTCATACAAACAGTTTCATTCATTCTGTTTAACAAATCGTCCGCCCGTTAAATGTTACTAAAATAAATTCCTGTCAAACGAATTCCTAATCCAGAATTCTCGATAAATTTTTTAAGTCTTAAAACTCGTTAAAGAAAAATATCGACTTAGTCATTCTTCGATAAGATTTATCTACGAATTCTATATTTCGGTGATGAATTTTAACGACACATTTTTCCTATCAGAAATTTATTCCGTTTCCCAAGAAACATTCAACGTTCAAAGTGACAAAGAAATATAGCCAAATTCTACCAAAATTATCACGCACGATTTTTAAATTGAACCGACAAAAACTTTCTTAACTTTTCTTTTATCACAAATTTATCTCACTTCCAGAATTCCGAAAAGCAGTAAATAAAGGAGTCTTACATACCGAAGTCCGCTGACAAATAATGCAACATCTATCTACAGTTTGCAACATTCAACTGACGGAGATACGAAGACTGTGCAAGTGTGTTTTGATTTCATTATCGCCGATTCGTCTCGTTTCGTCACGAACCAGTTTCGCGGGGAATAACCAGATTAATCTCGCCGAATAAGGAACGTAATTTCTCGGGGATGTACTTTAGCCGAGATTAATTGTTATCTCTCTGTCTCGAGACGTTCATGTAACACGCGACCAGATGAAAGGTCCAAAGGCGATGGTAATCGGGGAATCTGGAAATTCTGGGTAAAGACTTTGGTGTCTCCACGGGTTTCCCCCGGTCCACAAAGAACGGTAGAACGTGTATTATGCTCGTATGAACTACGAAGGTCGCGCATGAAAGGGACCACGCTGGTCTGTATTGTCTCTATTGTTCCTCGGTGTTCATAATGCACCATTTTCATCGAACGATGCATCACTTTTTTTTTAAAAATGATGCAATTTGCGTTCAATAGACCGTTCTGTGTGCAGAATTATATTGGGTTGTTACGAACCTGTCCTATGATCCTCCACAGTCATTTTAAAGCTAATAAAACCCACCGAAAACTATACTAGGCTATGACGAGTATGCCTATGACTCTGGACAGTCGTTTTAAAATACACCAAAATGAGGAGGAATGTCTAAAAAATTGTGCTAATAGGTTGATTGTCGTGTTAGTCATATTTGAGTGACAGAAATATCTGCAAAGACTTCTTTTTTATATTAATATTAATGTTTATGTATTAATTTTATATTACA